GTCGGAGGCCTCTGCTGGTGTTGTCATTGTTTTCTGTTTTCATTACAGATCAGAGTGATGTGGACTTTCTCAATAGATGTTTAGATTTGTATGAGAACCTTCAGCAAAGGTGAGCTGGTGAAAAAATATGGTGTAACAGGTTTGTTGGTGGTCATATAGAGACTTTTTTTTTTTTTAGGAAAAGAAGAGTCTCGGAGGTTGCCATGGAGTCAGACTGTCTAAACCAAAAATGGATGCTGTACATACACTGATAAATGTCATTTCAGGAGTGGCCAGATTGAAATCCAGAGAAAACTATGCTACAGGTGAAAGGTCAAAAATTGGTCATCATGTTGAGATTTTTTTAATACCACAGACTGACAAAGAAAACTGAAATTTGTGAATTTTAAAGGTGTGCAAGATGTGCTGTGTTCAGTCGCAGGGCCTTGCCCTTTTATTTCATTTGTCTTTGGTTTCGAGTTTTTATTTGTGCTCTTGTAATTATTTTGTGATAAAACTTTTTCTATTTTGAGATCAAGATTCAAGTGGAAATCTTTGTGTGTCTGTCTCTCCCTTGGTTTCTGTAGAGGTACAGTGTGGGGGCGCCTGGATAAATGTTAAACAGAAGCTAGATGTAGTGTTCCTCCACTGTCCGTTAAGGATATGAGGAAAAGAAATGGTCAAGAACAAAGTGTATGGTGTATTTATAAAAGAAAATGGCTTTTAAATTGTATACCAAAACGACCACCAGAAAGTCAACTACAACTTGTTACATAATCATCATGATTGTTGTATCAGTTTAACAGTTTATGGGTTGACTTCTTTCGGTTCATGCACTGTTTACATCATGAAGGAAAAAGAAGGCAACAGGCTGAGAAATGAAGCTGTTGTGTGTCTTTGTGGCCACACGGGGGCAGTGCTGCATAAATAGTAGAATCTCTTCCTGGACACTTTTTCTGGACCTCTTTTTAAATGACTAATAAAGACAACAACAACATGAATTACATCAGGATCTGATATGGTTGTCTTTTTTTGTTGAGCTTTATATATTTCAGAATGCCTAGAGTTTGTTTGTTTCCCATGTTTTGTGATACAGAACATCTCCTCTCAGACGGCTGTTGTCTCATAATGGGTCATTACCTGGTCTGATGGGTGTTTGTTCCATTTATAAATCAAGTGATTGATTTGTGAAATGAGAGATGGCCTCTGACCTGCTGACTGGTGTCTGATCTTCTCTGCTCCCCTCAAATTTGACAACTACTCGGCTAATGTGATGGTGGACAGGAAGTCACTAAACCTGGGACTCTGGAAACACATTTCTAGGGATAAAAAGTTAATGTAGATCGTTTCAGGAGATAAATATTAAATGATCGATTTGGCGATTATACTAATATAGTAAGAAAAGAATGTATGAAGAAAAGATTTTTATCTATACACTTAAGCAACGACCAGAGTCTTAGAATTGCGCTTTCACCAGGTTTTACTTGACTGAACAACAGAACTTCTCTGTCTCCTTTATAAGGGGTCACATCCTGAGTTACACAATGAGTCTTTCAAATGTGTGCGCTAACCCACTGCATGTGTAGTCGTGCTGAGACCGCGTGGTCTTATTTTTATTACCCCTTGATTCAGCTGTGACCTGCTTATCAAGTCTTTTTACAAGTACATCATAATTATCTGCTCTCATGCAGACATAAGTAGAGCAATGGTTTAACAAACTTTCCCATCAAAAACATGAAGGTTTAGCTTTAAGCTTATTTGTCCAAACAACAAAGGATAAACTGCCAGCACCTGGACTGAAACAGAACATAGTAGTGTTGGATGTAAGTAAAGGAAATACAAGTATAACTGTGACTATGGAACAAATCTCCTTCAATGTTAAACCTTAATGTTAACCTGATTGTGTTTATTAGAAAAATCAGCCATTACAGTGTCTGTGATTGCTTCACATAGTTAGTTAACTCTGGTTGTCTGTGGGTTTGTGTCAAACTTGGAGTGGGAAAAAAAGCATAAAAACTGTGGAAGATGCAGACTGTGAAAGTCTAGTTTATTTCATGAATACAATTATTTTTTTTACAGTCGCTAGAACAAAGTAGCGTACATTCATGATAAAGTAAATACCACAACACAACATGGACAGTAAGAAGTAAACTGAATTGTCTTAGAACTTATTATATTCTTTAAGCTTAAAAGCAACACCTAGGATTCGACTGTTTGTGTTTTAAACCTTTTATTCAAAACTAGTATGTGTCAACACTTCTTTCTCCCAGCAGCATTATTGAAGTGACACTTTAACGACACTTTACCTGCTGATGCTTCACATCACAATCTTTATGACGAAAAAGCTCAGATGTCTGTGCTGTCACTTGTTATGAAAATGGACAGAACCTGGGCTCAGGCTTCCTCTTCTTCTTTCCTTCCTCTTTAATAATAACCATAGATCAGTAAAATAGCCATATTTTTAAACAAATGATTGTGATGAAGAGAATTTTTTTTTTTCTAGTGTGCATGAACTCAAAATCTTTTAAGTTTAAATCTTTTTTGTTTACTGGGGAAATCCAAACTTGATGTACCAGGTCAACTCAGCGAGCTCCTGTCTTGACCTCCCCTCTGCGCACACACACACACACACACACACACACACACACACACACACACACACACACACACACACACACACACACAGTATCATCATAAATGCCATGATATCTTTCTTGTTCAAATAGTTTATTCACTTAACAAAGAGGTAGCTTGGAAACTCAGTAAGAAGGAGGAAAAATAGTTTAAGGACATTTTCTCAAATAAACAGGATTTCATCATCTTTCTGTTCATAATGGGGCGATTGTGGCTCAAGAGTTGGGAGTTCGCCTTGTAACCGGAAGGTTGCCGGTTCGAGCCCCGGCTTGTACGGCCGCGGTCGTTGTGTCCTTGGGCAAGATACTTCCCCCGTTGCCTACTGGTGGCGCCAGTGTCGGGCAGCCTCGCCTCTGTCAGTGCGCCCCAGGGTGGCTGTGGCTACAATGTAGCTTGCCATCACCAGTGTGTGAATGGGTGGATGACTGGTTGTGTAAAGCGCTTTGGGGACCTTAGGGACTAGTAAAGCACTATACAAATACAGGCTAAATAAAAGAAGAGATACATCAGAAACAAATCAGTAGATCCAGAAATTATAGAGTCAAACTCTTTTCAGCTGTAGAGGTACACTTCATGCACTCCTTAGCGTACAGTTCAAATGCCTGTGTTAGGGTGCATTGTTTCAGTTTCATTAAGTCTTCTTGCAGTTACATGATAATTATTATGCTGGAGTGATCAAAGCTCATAAACATCTGAGTTACACAATGAGTCTTTCAAATGTGTGGAATATCCCAGCTGTAACCTTTGCTTTCAATTTGGTTAAATTTGGCATTCAGATCACAGACTAAACAACAAGTACAGTAGGTCTTCCACTCCACAATTTAAAAATAGCAACACTCATGCAAGGCTTTATTCTCCATAGAGTCAACATAAAGCAACATTAAATAATGGATCTTTCATCTGAAAAAATTACAGTTTGTATAAATTTACACTGAAGACCAAAATACACACACATACATAAAACCCATAAATCACTAAAACCTATTAAAACACATGGAAAATTACCTCATTTGTTGTGCTATTCAAAGATGTGTATGTGTGTGTATTCAGGCCAAGTCATAAAGAAAGCAATAGAGGTCAATATACTTTATGTTCTACAGTCGCTGCAGATTAATGAATTATAGTGGAAACTTGAAGATCCTAGGTATAGTAGTTTGTGGGAAATAAATACAGTGAAGTGACCATTTAGCTCTTGTGGCATGAAACTGCTTAGTGCATTATTATTTGCTTTTCTACAATATGATATTTGTTTAATAATTGATTGATTTAGTGCATAAAATAGTTGATAAATAAAATGTTAAATATCTAATCTAAGGGAGTGTCTTTGACACATGCTGACTGCATTCTTCTTATAACCAGAACAGGAAGTGAGATCAGAGGAGAACAAGAGTGAGCAGTTTGGTGAAAGGAACAGGAAGGATGAAGAAGAGGTGAATATCCACACAGTTTAAAAGGAGACATCATGGCACAATAAGAGCACAAGCTCTAAGATGAAGACTGGTAATGATTAAAAACTGCACTAAATAGTATCATTCTGTGACTTCACACTTTAGGTAGTGCATAACATGTACCACTTTATATTAATTTTACTATATGTTTAAATAAATAAAAACAAATAACTTTAAAAGGTGCTGTTATTGAGTGAAAATTCAAAAGACTTCATGGCTGGGGAGAAAAAGGGAGAAAGATGGAGGAACACAGCACACATAAGAAGTATGTCTTCATGTCCACACGTAAGAGTGGACATGAAGTCAAAGTCAGGGACATGTCCGATAATAAAGACCTTCCACCTGGCTACATATATGTCACTTCTGCTTTGCCCACATTCATCTATGGTGATCGCTCATAACTAAGCAGGGTGCTATGCTCTTATCAAACGATGATCCGAAACTGCTCTTAAAATAATTATTACAAGAATATATACATATTTTTTTTGTTATTTTTTTAGTTGAATATAAAATGTTTGTGTGTGATTGTCAGTACAAAGAGGAAGCGCGGACAGAGAGACTGGAACTAACAGAGATCAGGTGGATTTTTCACAACATCTACATGCATTAAATGGATGCGTTGTGTGCTTTCAGTAGCACTCTGCTATTAATGTGAATAATAGCATTTAGCAACATTCACATCACTGTAAACTTGAACAGGATGAATGCCACTATACTGATGTGACAGACTACAAATCTGTTCTCCACTCTCTGAATTGGTGTACACGAGTCTCTGTGCTGAGTCTGCACAACAAAGTGTTTGGGTTTGCATGAATTCAAAAGCTGTCATTTAAAATCAGCTCTATTACCAGTTTGCTTCTTGTGCAGGTACGTGGAGTCGCAGGGGGATTTTGAACTGTCTGTATTGTATAATGGTACTTTAAATACTTGATGATTTGGTGGACCTGCCTCTATGTGGTTAAGAGACTGAAACAATGCCGTGCAGGTTTCTCCTCTGATCTGCTTTTTCTTAAACTGTTTTTGAAATTTACTGTCAACATGACTGTGCCATTGCATCGGGTTTTAAACTAAAGTGACCACCGTAAAGCTGATGTATTATATTAAAATCTGTTATTCTTAGACACTGCTGTAGGTCATCCAAAAATTACATTTCTTTTGAAGGCAACACTAAAAGCATGACATTAAGACTGAGCTGAGCCCTCCTAAAGGTTTGATGCTGGAGTCGCCCCTGATTGAGTGCTTCTCACACATTTATGATTTTGAACAATTTACAGAAAATAATATCAACAGTAAGTACTTTTAAAGACTTAACATATAATAATAGTTGCTGAATTCATGCAAGTCAAATAACTGATTGATCAACTACAGAAACAAAATTGTACTTCATGCGTTTCATGAGCACAAATCTTCATCTGTAAAATAACAACTAAAGATGTCAGATAATTGTAGTGAAGTCAAATGTACCAATTTCCACTTAGAAGCAGCGGAGAAGAAGCCACAAATGTGATGGAAAGACCGATGTAATGCCTCTATCACCCACTGTCCTTGCCGACCTGCATTGGCTTCCCGTTAAGTATCGCATTCAATTCAAAATCCTGCTGCTCACCTTCCGAATTATTAACGATATAGCTCCAAGCTACCTCATTGAGCTCCTTAGACATACACCCCTACGGTGTAATTTTACATGTAGTTGTTTTTTTTACTGTGTAATAATATTCAGCATTGCTATCAATACATTTTTCAAAAAATGCTTCTCTGTGCAAAATGGGATTAAAAACATAAACTGTGGGTGTGGCGGAGGTGTGGTCCGGGGCGCGGCTGCAGGGGAGGAGTGGTGCAGTGAGCTCAACGGGGCGGTGCTGGTAAGAACAGCTGATGGCGATTTTGGACTGATGGTGGTTTTCCTTTCCTTTATATAGTGAGGTGGAGAGGAGCGGAGGAGAGAGACGCTGGGGAAACCGACCGCTGTCAGACGGTGTTCTGTTGTAATTCAGTGCACACTCTTAATAAATGTGGGATCTGATGACAACGACCTGTGTGTGGGTGTATCTGTGCCTAGCGTGTGTCACAGTGGGATACTGTTATTCCGTGATTTGAACCGGGGGAACAAATCGTGGCAGGATCAGCCTGATATTTTTTGTATCCCACTCTAACTTTACTGTATAAAGAGCTAACGTCTCCAAAATGTCAGGAGTAGTTAGTCATTACAACAAGTGTTTGTGAACTAAAAATCAAGAATGTGGGATACTGTTTGTCCGTGATTTGAACAGCCCAGCGCTGCTCCCGACGAAGGGAAAACCAATTCTGCAGGGGAGACCTACCTCAGCGCTTGTGCAGGTGAAACCAAAGGGCAGATATGCTTCACCATATTTTCTAGTCTTTGGCTTGGAATAAAGTTGGTTTGGAAAGCTATTCAGCGATGCTTCATCTCCTGCTTTGCGTTTGTGTAGGCGCCCCGTGCTAGCAGTGTCCAAGCATTTTGTTTTTGTCCCCTTTTCATACCGCCTCCCCCCACCCTGCAATGGCTCTGCGCCCCCCCTAGGAGGCGGGCCCCACACTTTGGGAAGCTCTGGCCTAGCCCCATCTTATCTCTCTGAGCTGCTGCAGCCTTATACACCCACCGGCTCTCTCAGGTCAGCTGATCAGCTGCTCCTAAATGCATCTGACTGAGCGTAAACTTAGAGGAGATCGTGCTTTTGCCGTAGCAGCTCCAAAACTGTGGAACGATCTGCCTTTAGAGATAAGACAGGCCCCTTCTCTGCCTGTTTTTAAATCACTCCTGAAAACCCATCTATTCACCCTGGCCTTTCACTCCTTGTGAGATGTTGGTTTTTAGTTTTACTTCAGTTGTTTTAGTTGATTCAATGCTGTTTTAGCTTGTTTTTAAATATAGGGCTGTTTTAATTTTTATGTACTATGTTTTATTTTTTACTGTTTTGTTTTATTCCATTGTTCTTAACTTATTTACTGTACAGCTCAGTTATTCTCCTGACTGAAGTTTGATCTGTTTAAGGCATCCTGCCATGCGATTGCATTTGTCCCTGACCACCAGAAACCCTCATGCTAACTTTTATCGAGTGGAAAAAAGTTAGCATTCATCCTCCAGCTTCACTGTGTTTCTATGCTAACATAGCTGTGTCGCTAGCGATCATGTAGCAATCAATCAATCTTTATTTATAAAGCACTTTTCATACAAAAAAAAATGTAGAACAAAGTGCTTTACATGGTTAAAAGCAGCCCACCCCACCCTCCAACTCACTCCCCACACTGTCATTAACATAAACGATGTGAATACACACACACACACACACACACACACACACACACACACACACACACACACACACACACACACACACACACACACACACACACACACACACACACACAAAGAGTAAAATTGGGCTGGGTACGCATGAGCCAAGTGAGGAAACACTATAACAGGGAGCCGTCTGCACCGGGAGCCGGTCACAGACCGTAGCCTCCAGGCTGGGCACACAGCAGGAGGGAGGCAAAGAAGCCCCCCAGCCAGGCTGAGAGGACCCCAGAGCCCCAGCAACCACGGTCGATCACAGCCCCGGTGCAGGGAGCGCCCTCTGAGGAAACACTGGAGATATGACACAATAGGATATATACAGGGTAAAACGATAAAATAAATGAGAACGGGATACAATATAAATAGAGTAACAAGATTAAAAAATAAATCAATAAATATTAGGTAAAGCCTAAATTAATAATAGAATAACAGGATAGAATAAATAAGCATAAAATAAATAAACGTTAAGTAAAAGCTAAATTAAAAAGGTGGGTCTTGAGCCTGTTCTTAAAAACATGTACGTTCTCTGCGGCCCTGAGCTCCTCCAGCAGGCTGTTCCACAGATGAGGACCATACCACTGAAAAGCTGCCTCTCCGTGAGTATGTGTCCTGACTTTAGGGACAATCAATAGGCCAGTACCAGAGGACCTCAGGGTCCGCGAGGGTTCATACGGTAAAAGCAGATCTGAGAGATAAGACGGCCCAAGACCATTAAGACATTTAAAAACCAATAAAAGAACTTTAAAATCGATCCTGAAACACACGGGGAGCCAGTGCAGCGATTCTAAAACTGGTGTAATGTGGGCCCGCCCTCTGGTCTTCGTCAGCACACGAGCTGCCGAGTTTTGTAAAAGTTGTAAAGTTGAAATATTCTTTTTAGGAGGACCAGAGAGCAGGGCATTACAGTAATCAATGCGACTGGTAATAAAAGCATGCATCAGCATCTCCGTGTTTGCCCGAGAGAGAATAGGGCGGACTCTGGCTATATTTTTTAGATGATAAAATCCAATTTTGGTTACATATTTAACATGTGGGATAAAACCAAGCTCAGAGTCAAAAATAACACCCAGGTTTTTCCACTTGTAGCGAAGGACATAGTGAAAATGCCTGTAATTTAGACAAGAGTTTCTCTCTCTGAGCCTCAGGACAGATGATTAAAACTTTAGTTTTGTCCTGGTTAAGCTGTAAAACGTTTTCTGCCATCCAAGATCTTATATCTAAAATACAGTTAAAAAGGGCATCCATTGGTCTGGTGTCATCAGGAGACACGGAGATGTACAGCTGAGTGTCATCAGCGTAACTGTGGAAGTTCACTCCATGCCTCCTGATGACACCGCCGAGAGGCAACGTATACAAATTAAAAAGTACAGGGCCTAGAACCGACCCTTGAGGCACACCACATGTCATTTTATGGATCTTAGAGGAGCATGTATCCATACTCACCATAAAAGATCTGTCAGAGAGATGGGAAGTGAACCAGTTGTGTACAGCACCAGAGAGGCCCACCATGTGTTTCAGTCTGTTTAAAAAAAAAAAAAAAAAAAAAAAAAAAAATAGCGTGGTCTACTGTATCAAAGGCTGCACTTAGATCCAGTAGCACCAGGACTGAGAGCTTTTGGGAGTCCCAGTTACATCTAAGATCATTTAAAACCTTTAGGAGAGCCGTCTCTGTGCTGTGGTTCACCCTAAATCCAGACTGGAATATCTCCAGGATCTGTCTATCATTCAAAAAGTCATTAATCTGAGTAAAAACAAGTTTTTCTAAGATTTTACTTAAAAATGGTAAGTTGGATACAGGTCTGTAGTTATTAAAATCATTACAATCCAAATTGCTCTTCTTCAGAAGGGGCCTCACCACTGCCGTTTTAAAGGCAACAGGGAAGACACCCAGCTGAAGAAAGCAATTCATCATGTATAAAAGCTCAGCTTCAAAAAATCCAGTGTTTTAAAGAGTGAAGAGGGGATTGGATCTAAAAGACATGTGGTGGGTCTCACTGTGGAGAAAACTTTCTTAAGGTTTTCAGCATTAACCAGGACAAAGCTGTCCAGTGTCTCCTCAGGTACAATCGAGCCCTCAGATGTGTTTAAAATCATATCGCGATTAGATAAAATGTCAGATCTGATGGCGCTGACTTTTCCCCTGAAGTGGTCTGCAAACTGCTCACAGAGTGACTCTGTGGGGGTTCTTTGGGAGCTGTTAAAATCAGGGTTAAATAAATGATCACATCATTATATACCAGCTAGTCCAACTTCAGTAACCCTACAAAAGTTACTGCTGTTTAGTGTTCTGTCTTCATTTCCCATATGGAAAAGAAATAGTAAAAACTAAAAGACTTGCATCAGATTTGGCCTACTTTATATAGTGAGTCATATTCGCCCATCCTTTTCTTCTTTAAATGTGAAGTGGTGTTGGAATTTCCAAGTAAGAAATGCATTCCTGCCCTGCTGCAGGCTCTGTTGTGCTGGCTCCGAGTCCATTGTGTAACTGACGGCATCAACATCAACAGTACATTCGAGCCTCTTTGTTGCGGCTCTTCCAACCAGTGGCCGCGGCAGGCTAAACATGAGGACACCGATGACGCGCAACAATTAACGCACAAAACACTTCTGTATCATTTGCTTCTTTATTTTCACATGCAACTGTCCAAACCACAAATCAGCATATGGGATTAACTATCAAACAAACGCACAGACTGCACAAACAAATAACTGCAACTTACGAATAACTGCACTAGCTACTATGTCAAAATTACAAACTGGTCTATGGCATCAATTAGTGCACAAATATACAAACACCATCAAGTTACAGTCCAAATATATCACAATCATTCAAGCTGCTATCAATTGCGATCACGTTGTGATCAATTTGCATTCATATTGCGATAATATTACGATCATGTTGCGGTATGTTGCAGTCAACAGAAAGTTTTGCCTCGTGCTCACCCTACCTTCTGCTCATCACATTAGGTGCTGTGAACAAGTGAGTGCAACCACATTTATCTTATACCACACCCATGAGACACGCCCCACACCCATGACCAATACAGTGAGTCCATTTAAACCAACCCACTTAGTCAGACGGAAACAACTCATATGGCTCCTACACTCTTATTACGTGTTTTATTTGGGTTTCTGGCAATGCGTTTAATTACCAAAATTAGAGGTGGGATAGCCTAACATATGAAACAGAAAATGACCGCTGTGTAATCCATTTATTTCAGTAACTGTATTCTAATTATCACCTATTTAAACTGTAACTGTGACGAACTGGTTACTCATATTTTGTACTTTACATACCTAACACCTGTACATGTATTACTCCCCAACACTGCACTCAATAATGTTAATGTGGTTGTGTTGAGTAATACTGCGAGTGCTGATGTAAGAGCTTTGAGATGCATTTGTAGATATTATTACGTGTTTTACAGTCTTTATGGTGCTAGCTTAAAGTTACGGTGTAAAGGTTATCTTATATTGTGGTAAAGCGGTTACTATTTAAATGGTGTCTAGACAGAAATATTAACTCCTGTTATGACTAAGTTGCTAAGTTACTAGTTAATGAAGTTACCAGTAACATGGTTAAACGCATCCACAGATTCACAGTAAATATCCCGATTAGCTTCAATGGATCTATAATAAATTTCTGCTAGTTCTAGCGCTTCATTTAAACCGTATGATACTCATACTTACCCAGAGTCAGTGTAAAATAAAATTCTACCTGTGTGAACAAAGTCTGGCTCCTTTAATCCTGCATGACAAACTTCAGGATGCAGGTTTATTGACCCTCTTTCCTGCTGGCACACCTGTGACACCTGAGAGTCAGCTAGAAACTTACAGGAATGTTTACTTCATGCAAAGACTGATAGACTCTGTAATACTGTAAATGATCAGTAACTTAGGTTAATACTAAACATTTGTGCCTCTCTGTCTGTGCTGAACCATTTAGAATCAGGTTTTGAGTCAGGCTGCATTGAGTGTGGGACTTAAAAGCATTAGGCTTGAAGATGGTATGAAAATCTCTACTTACCTTCTACGCTATATTTTTGTTACTGATTTATTAATACATTTTACATTGTTTCTTTTGTTTATCAGTAGAGAGAACACAGATTTCAGAGGCGCAAAGAGAAGCACTGTTGCTTCATACTTAATACTTTAAAGCTGCATTAGGGGAAGACAAGAAGCAGAAGTACTTCCAGGCACAGCCGCAGTGAGGGAGCAGACACCTTACACTGAGTTCAGAGAAGTCAGAATTTCAAGAAGCGTCTGAAACAGCTCAGGTTTGGAAAGAAGCCTTTTATGTTGGGTGTTATAAAAAATATACACATATTTATAAATACATTTTATAATAACAACTATAATATTATTATAAATAGTAGTTATTCTCTTATTATTATAAATAAATATCAAACATTTCAGTTGATTTTCTATCACATATATTGTGTTAGCCCTGTGATAAACTGGCAGCCTGTCCTGCTTTTGCCCTGTGGCAGCTGGGATAGGCTTCAACCTCCCACTGTCACGATCCTGGGTCTTTTGACCCAGCGTTTTAAGTTTTAGTTTATTTTTGATGTTTATGGTTTATTTTTAAGTTCATTAGGTTATCTAAGCTCATTTGTTTATTTAGATTCCCCTTGTGTCTTCTACCCCTGTGTTTTAGTCTCCCTTTGCCCTTTATGTGTTTCATGCTGCGTGTCTTATGTTATCAAGTTTATATTGTCTTGTCTGCGTCTCATGTTTCCTGTTTTATTTTGAAGGTCTGTGTCCTATGTCAGTGTAGTCAGCTTTGCTTCCTTTGTCTCGTTATGTCAGAGTAGTGTCAGCTGTTTCCCCATGTGTTTCCACTTCCCCCTAATCACCCTTGTGTGTATTTATTCTGTGTGTTTCTGTTCATTCTTTGTCAAGTTGTCTGTTGTTCCATGTCTCCAGGAGTTTCCATGTTTATGTTTTTTGCAACGTTCAAGGTTTTGTTCTTTGCCTTTTGTGTTTAGCATTCAGTTTTCCCAGTTTAGTTCTAGTTAGGTTCTTTCTTGTGTGCATCTGCCTTTTGTTTTTGTACTCTTTTATCAGCCACATTAAACGGCTCGCTTTTAACCTGACCATGTTTTACCCAACAGACATTTATTTCAGTGACTCTTTTGAATTTAACGGACTTTGGATTATTTCCTGTGCAGGAGGAGAAGGAGGCTATTCGGTAGTGATGGGCAGATGAAGCTTCATGAAGCACTGAAGCTTTTCATCCAATTGGTTCATCCCAGCGCAAAGCTTCTTGAAGCTTCATTTGCTCTAGTAGGACACCTACTGGACGTAAAAATATTAGTTGGCATGAATTTGAAGAGTGTGGCCTTTTGCACACAGCCTGTAAATGTCAACAACAAAAGGAGTGTGTAAAACATGTATATTGTAGTGATGGCAGTATACTGTGTATATTTATACTGGCAGTATGGAAAATGATCATTTACTGTGAGGTGAGGTGTGGTTGGGGTGTGGACAGTAGTTGTGCTTTTGTAACGTTGAGGTATGGACAGCTACACACTTCTGCCTGTTCACATTCTGTAAAAACTAAATGTTCACTGCTTTTATGACCTTTTTAGTGGGGAGAACATAGCTGGGATTTAATGATTTAACAAATCTTTTGAATCCTTTGTCCTCCACAATGCTAAATGGCTGGGAGTCCTCGATCACCATGCTAACCAGGTCTTCATCTATTTGAGATTGTTCTCCTGAGGAAAGACAATAAAGACAAAGCACAAATATAAATATCACACACGTAACTTATAACAGTTGTATAATATTGTTATATCATTTAGCAACATTACTGCATGCTATATTATCATTGCATTTGATGGCTCACCTGGTCTTGCTCCTCAATCGGCGTTCCCCTTATTCTCATGCAAAGCTCTGTAGTGCCTAAGCATGGATGAGGTGTTGTTGTTATATCCCAGCTCCCTGGCACATAGCAAACACTTCACCTTGTACAAAAGTAAAGACAGCTTAACATAAATTGTATTGCACCATCAGTATTATGAAAATACATCTTCTGTAGAAATTTACATACCTTGTTGGGAGGAATAAGATCAAAATGTTCCCACACAGGTGAGGATATCCTCCTCTTCTTAGCTGGCTCCATTCTCTCCTGACTTTCTCTCATAAACCTCCAAACTGTCTCCAAATTCTCACTAACCGCAACTCTCCATCAAACACCCACATTTTTGAATGAAGTCTGAGGGGTTTATATCGCTGTCGTAGCTCGCGGCAAAGTTCGAACCACTTCCTGAACCAGTCACGTGGTACAGCCGGGCAGCGAGGCTTCAGACGTCATCATTTTCAGCTCCTCCCATAAATGAAGCAAGCCTCGATACGCGCATCGCAGAAACGCTCCCTCAATTACTCGACACAAGCTTTGAAGCCTCGATAGAGAACGTCACATCACTACTATTCGGGCTCAGATGACCCGGATAGCCACGGCTAACCCAAGGTTTCTGGATTTTCTTGCCTGATGATTTAAAGAACTTTGTTACTGCCTCAACCTCAGTAGTAATATAAAGGCACTTTTTTAACTAGTTTAGGAGCACTTTTCTTTTGTGCTCTGAAAGACACAGAGGCTAGTAGTTTTTAAAACAGAGTACCACAAACAACATGTATCCTTTTAGAAATAAACTTTTCTTGTGATACTTCTAAAAACCACATATTCTTAACTAGCCACAATAGCACTGTATCGACCCCCCCAATGTTCCTTTAATGCAACCTATAATTGTCTAGTAGCCACACAAACGCACTGCAACAGTAAGACTTGATGAGACAGAGGGGGTTACAGGTAGGGCCCCAACAGTCAGCAAAACAAGTCATAAAACAATAAAAGCTGCATACTTATCAAGAGCATCCCAGCACACACATCCCAACTGTAGTTCCATAGTTTTTCACCTTTTTTCTTTACAAACTGCTCTTTTCATCTCTCCATGTCAGAGGTCAACTGAAACCAAGTCCACCTATATAAAAACACCCCATCAGACACACAGTATTTTCCTCAGCACTTCACAACTTTCGCAAGGTATATTGTTTTAACTTTTTTTTTCGGACCCTGGACACAGCGCTGTGAGGTAGTTAGCACACAATTTGGCCATGTAGAAAGCATCGTTTGTTTGGAACGCGTCATCACTGTTCATACGAGTTTAATTTAATCAAACCTCATTTTAGGATCTACGTGGTTCCTCATCACTCGCCGATTCATCATTTTATTTAAATATCTGAATTTTCAGAATGGTGATCCAAGCGGGACACAGAGGCTGCTAGTTTTAACGCACCAGAATGCCGCAAATATAAATAAAAGCCTGACTATCCCGAGAGCCTAGCCGCAGCGACACCTTTCAAATGGATGCCTGCAGGTGCGTTGGAGCCGACTTTGCTACCCGCACAGAGCGTTTCGGACAGTCGGGCACTGCTTATGCAATAAAGAAAAACAACAATACAGCATGTTTCTCTGCTCCAAGACATCCGCGGTCCTTTCACACGGTAAGCATGTCTGTTATACCCAGCGCATAAATGTCTGTATGTCCTGTGATCTAAAATTTGGCACATTTATATTTGTGTCTGGTAACAACAGCAGCAAATGTGCTGTACAGCTGATTCTTTTGAGGGTGTAGCGCCTTCAAAGGTTGACGTAGGCACCATGTAGAGTTATAAAACGGGGTTTATTCTGGTCTCGACGACCCGGGAGAACTGCTCAAAGAAGAAAACGATTTTTTTTAAAAAACATCACATCAAAATGCATTCTTCTACTTTGTGTAAATCAATCACAACGTAATTAATCACAGAAAATAAAACATTTAAAGAACACAAGCAAAGTAAGCTGACCTCCAGGAGGGGCTAAATAGTCCTTTGTGGCCTTACTATCTTTTTCTAACTTATTTCTTGCACTTATTTAATTTTGAACATTACTTTTTCCATGTGTGGAGCTAACCATGTGTGCTAGCAAAAAAGGGGTTGGGTGGAGACCCAAAAATGCAACCAACTCTACATTCCACTGTTCATCACCAGATGGTGCAAAAGCGCAAGATCCAGACATAAAGCATCAAATCCAAAAGTCCTTTACAGAGGGTTTTTATCATTATTATTATTATTATTTATTATTTAACTAACTTTTTAAATGTTTCACACATTAAACATTAATGCATGAATGGATGTGTATTTTAAAATGAAATACTTACAGAAGACATTGTTAATTATTAACAGCTTAATTATTGTGCTTTGTATATGCTACATGTATATATAGTACATGCAGTATGACAGGAACACAGAGGTTTAGTGCCAGACTTCACATAAAAAGTAGCAACTACACATGATTATCATGTGTGGTGTTAGTTTACATTAGTGGCTCCTCTCATGAAGGTGTGTGGATCTCTCACCTCTCTCCAAATTGTGGTTGTGTGTTTGATGCTGAAACAGATGAAGACTGCTGATTGGCTGAAGTAGGGTACAATATATTTTTTTGGTTTTTGGTTTGGGCAGTGCTCACCGCTACATTAAATAAACTGCTGCTCGTGTGTGTTTGTAGGTTCTCAGTCATCCAGCTCATGGTTGTCTAAGGAGCCTGGAAACACTTCAGCCACCTGGAAATACCCAGCCTGCAGAGTACATCATATGATTTATTGATTTATTTTGTGTTCATGTCACATGGATGGATGTGAAATTAATTTATGATTGTTTTGTTTTTTGTCTGTTTCTAGAGGAGACGTCGTTCAGGTTGCAGGACTTGGTGGTTATAGAGTAAATGCCACCGGCCACACACGTAAGACCATATTTTGTTTGATTATTTCACAGTTAATGCTAGAATCTGATTTCGGTTTCTGTGACTGTTTTATACTTACATTTATGTTTTTTGTTTAATACTGAATGAAGAACAAGTTTTTTTCTTTTTGTAAATTTTGGAGTAGATATACTGTGCGCCAAGTTCCTTGTTTAAAAATCATTTGGAAACATAACAAAAGATGAAACATCATTCTACTCACAATTTTAGCTTTTGAAAGATTATGAATAACTTTTGTTCTTTTCCTTTTTCTCTAGTCCCTGATGAACCACCTAATCTTCAGTGTGCAGACATGTGTGTTGCTGACTGTGAGCCTACCAGATACTCTCAGTGTACTGCATATGTGCCATATAACAACAGGCTGTGTCTGGAAGAACATCAAGTAGATGCACGTGGGGTTAGTTAACTGCTAATATTACTGTATATCATCTGTGTATGTTTTAGATATTTTGGGGAGCACAAACTACATTTCTCTTCTCTCAGGGTGATTCTGGTGGTGGAGTGATTTACAACAACATGATTTATGGTGTAATCAGTTCTGGTTTTGAACGTGTCTGTACTGGACCAGCTGTTACTGTGAATGTTTGTTCTGACATGAACTGGATAAATCAGAAAATTGCTCAAAATAATGGAAAATAACTGAATGAAAATAACATCCAGAATAAACAATCATCTCTACATGAAACTTGTGTGCTGTGTGTTGTTTCTACTCTAGAATATCTTCATGTTAACTGCAAATTGTGAACCTTTTTCTTTGGTCTAAAATATTGTGTCAGATTTGCAGCTTGTGTGTGTTTGAATGTGGTGTCAGGTGTGTAGCAGCTCATCCTGTTGTTCAGAAACTCTCAGACTCACACTGTGAAGATGCAGAAAGGCTTTCTGATCAGACATGCCACCAATCAGCTGCAGGGCCTGAACATGATAGACTTCATAAATCTGAGTTGATTGTTGGGGGTGGAAATGTTTACGTGGAGGCTGTTGGCCTCCGTGCACTGAGGGCATTAAAATAAATACTGTAACCATCAAAATAAGTTTTGTTGATAAAATACATTTCTTGAAACCGTCCATTGTTTTGTCCGAACTCTAAACACTGAATCCAATTTTCAAACTAAAAGCAGTGCTTTCAAAATTTACACTAAAGCAAAAAACCTACAAGAACAAAGAATAAACAAAATAAAATTATAGTACATAGCGACATATGTGTTTTATTTCTCATAACACATCATTTCCATCTTGTCTTCAGTCCTGCATTTTTATACTTCTAAGACCAAAATGAAAACTAAACTCTTCATATTCACAAACACTATTTGTTTCAGGATTTCATCATGATTCATTTTCCATATGAGGCAGTGCTTTCAAATTACTTTTGAAGTAGTACAGAGAAATTACTCTTCTCCTCGTCTTTTAAATTGCATCAATATTTTCCAACTGAGCAGTAAAAGGACACGGAACTCAAACATGAAGCATCAACGTGATGTTTAGATGTCGATTAATATTACAATAAGAGACTAAAGTAACTCGCTTTGAACACTTCAGTTTTCTCTCTTGATGCTGCTGTTTGTTTCCTCCCCCACTTGTATTTTTCTGCACTTCAGTGAATGTGCATAGCGCCCTCTGTTGTATGTTTGGGAGAACTGCACTACATTGTCATCAAACGAAACTGTGCAGAGGTGGAAAATGAGCAAAGGAAGCACATCAACTGAAGAAGCTTCTTGGATCAGAAGTTAAACATCATCCAGAACCTTAAAGAAGTAAAGTCGCTTTCTTTCCAGGCTCCTTAGACAACCATGACCTGGATGACTGAGAACCTACAAACACACGAGCAGCAGTTTATTTAATGTGGACCTGAGCAGTGCCCAAACCAACAACCAAACAATTTTTACTGAACCCTACTTCAGCCAATCAGCAGTCTTTATCTCTTTCAGCATCAAACACAAACCACACCTTGAAGAGAGGTGACAAATCCACAAACACCTTCAAATGTAAACACACATCACACATGATGAACATGGATCCTAACATAGTTGATACTTTTTTTTGTAAAGCCTGATACTAAATGTATGCAGGCCACCTGAACTGCTTTTTCTCGAGTGCCGCCCACTGGGTTGGTCACTAGAACTGTGTGTTGCCATCACTGGAGCTGTGGTTGGTCTTTTAGATTATTTAGACTGGGACTGTTTTTTGTTGATTAGGCGGCATGGTGTCCTGACGGCTGCCTCTGTTGTTTTTTTTCCCAGGAGGAGGAGAGTGGAGCACAGGTGGACAGCAGCCATGGGAGCAGAGAGCACAGAGTTTTGGGTGAAGACATGACACAGGAGTTGAGGGAGCTCAAGGGATTATTGTGTTGTCTTATTTACTCCACTGTAAATAAAGAGCACTGTCCATCGCACGAGTCCTGCTTTTGGGTCCTCCTTCCCCACTTCACAAACACTGAAACTAATTATACAGGTAATAATAAAGGAACCAGAAGTTCACATCTATAGCTTTAAATTTTGATAAATCTGTCAACACAACCATCAATAATAGAATAAAATACAAACAAACACTGAAACTAATGAAAAATTACACATGATATATGAACTGTGGAAACTAACTGAACAATAAAACTCAGAATAAACAAATTCAAACATTATATGAAAGGTATAAACTGATTTGCATCTTATTGATTTGCAGGCTCACTTTGCTCCAGGACTTGACGACTGGCCCAACCCGTACAGTCTTTGGCTCTTAATACTGAATGTTGAAAACTGATACTCATGGACACCTTATTTCAGCCTCTTTACTTTGCATAAGAGACCCAAAGCATTACATTAACATGATGTTGTCTAGTGGACCAGCACGTCCATTACATGTTTTGCCGTTATTGCTGTTTGTTACGAGTTCAAATATTGAGGGTGAGCACAAAACAATAATGGTCCAGAAGAGCTTTGGTCAAACAATGATTTTAATGAACACGGGCGTGGGGAGATGAACACTGCCCACAGACAGCATCGATCTCCGCCCAATGATACACAAGCAGTTGTTTTATACCATCAGGGTTTACTTTTATGATTCCCCCTCATGCGTCAAGCAGATACAATACATGCATAAGTTTCAAAACCACAAATGTTCTGTTGACGACTTTGGACACATTTAAAAGGACATCTTCTCCGTCTCGAGGCCAGGTGCTTCCTATTAATCTTCTAACTCTCGCTTATCTCCTGGAACAAACTGTCCCTTAGGCAGACACAATTTTGCAGTCACAAGCTTTTGCAAACTATTATTTGAACTCTTACCTAAATATGAGTCTAACTACTGTTTGTGTGTGTGTGTCTCGACCTCCAACGCACTCAGCCTCACCCCGCCCGTTGATGCTTCTAACCTTTTACCAGACAGCTCTCTGTGATAGGTGTAATAATCTTAACTAAGAACATGTGTAATCTATTGAATAAATGCTTTGATGAAATGATAATTAATGTAATGGTAATGATGATGGTTATGAATAGTAGCAGTAAAATATTTCCCTGATCTCCACACTCCCGCTTTTGACCTCTTGACCACAAGAGGTCACCATACGTTGCTTGTGTCACTCCTCGGCCCACTCAGCTGCTTCCATGTCCATTAATGGCATCATGGGCCCGGGTCACCGTTCCCTCTCTAGCCGTCCTCTGGCCCAGGGAATGAGACAACACCCTCTGAGACATCAGACAAAAACAAACACCTTTCCCTACTACGCCTCCCACACTCATCTCCTCAATTGGTCTCTTAATTCTTCAAACTTGGTTCAAGCTATCATGTTTGGGACTCTAATCAAAAGCGAGCCTGACTTATGGCCTTGGGTCCCTATTTCGTCTACCTTTAACAACGGTGGGAGTGAAGCTCCCGTGGAATGTGCTCTCTGTCTCCTCTATTATCAGAAAAAGCAAGGTCCTGACTCTCTGAAAACAGTATTTCTTATAACTCAGCAGTATAATGCATCATAAAACAATATCATTCATTCACAATAAATCAGCAGCCTAATGTAATACAAATCAGTTTAACAAATGTAATAGTTATCACCTTCTTCTAATTCAGGAGAATAATGCAAACTAAAACTACATAATAATTTCACAATCATTAATCAGGGGCATAACGTGGCATAAGATAATATAATAATCTCACAGTCCCCCTTTGATCTCTTTTAAAAGAGATCACTTACACCCTAGAATCTGGGTTTGCGAGGTCCATTTCTTCTTCTTAGTCCTGAGGCCCTGTGTCCCCGTTTAACGAGTGGACCATATTGGATGACCTCTGTGTTTGCGCAGTTCAAATGCAAGAAAAACTATGATTACAACAACAATAGTAGGTACAGATGACACTTCCATCACTCTCCAGTCCTCCTACAGCTTTATCTTGGTGCTCCAGTTTCCCCAACCTCATTTTGGTGCCACCTTTTAACTTTCAAACGTACTCAGACTAGAACCTCTGTCCAAGGAGCTTTTAACCTTTACTTTATTGCTGCAGCTATCAGTGTCTTCCAGTCGGGTGATTCTCTGCTCTTCTTTCTTCGACCTCAGGGGTTAGACCACCCTTCAGTCGTTGCACAGATCAGGGGATTATTCTGCCCCGATTTTCAAACAACGATCTGTGTATTCTGGGGTCACAGCCGTGTCCCCCTTTTTACCAAGAGCCTCTCGAACCTCGTTGGTCTGGTGTTCCTGGTTTTTTGCCAACCCCTTCATGGTTATTGCTGTGTTTATGGGATCCATCCTTTTGAGGTGACTAGCTAGAGCCCAAACTGCATGACCCTTGGCCCCAGTTGCTGTCTCGGCAGTCTCCACGCCTATCTCTGCTGCGAAGGATCCTCATATCTCCGTGACCTCGTCTGGTGTCTGTTCCTTTCTCTGTAAGACAGAAAACCAAAACACCTCTCTGCCTAGCCTTAATAATCTAATGTTGTTATTCATTGTTCCTCGAGTGATTCAAAATTGGTTTAGAATATTCAGAATGTTCAGGACTCTCTGGCCCAGGGACTTATTCTAATCATAATCTATGTGTGTGTAAGCGTGTTTGCATTTAGCCCTCTGCACTCAAAGTCAATACCTGCAATATATCAGTCCGGTCCATCACGCCGAACGAAGCTTATGACCTTCTAAAGACTGAGTGCCAACTCATTATGAGCACATTTGCAATGCGTATATGAAAATAAAAATAACCACTTATTTTAGTAAAAGAAATCAAAAACAAATTAACCATTTTTACTTCTAATCTTTGCCACCTTTTTACAAAAATCATGTGTTTCTTTCAGCCTTCCGTCCTACGATTTCCTCTCCAGTGCGATACTCAGCTTCTCATGAACACAGGGATTTTATCCTCTAAACCAGGGGTCACTAACAGGCGGACCGGGGTCCGAGTCCGGACCCAGTCGACATCCTATATGGACCCAGACCTATAGTTAACAAAATATTAAATTATATTTAATTTTGACAGGGCGATTCAATTTTAAGCGGTAACCTTACATTGTATTAGACCAGGGATCATACTAACCAATTGTGTGCGAGTTACGCCACCCACGTGACACTACTTAGCCAATCACATCTGCGCATTCAAGGCGATCGCAACGCTGAGTGCAGACAGAGGAAAGACATGGTGAGAGGTGAATGACAAGCGAGACGATTAACGATACAGTGAGACAAGACGTGAGCGGGAGTCACAAGAGGTAAAACAACTATGGCGCTTTCAAAAAAGAGAAAAGTAGACACCGAAAATAGAACTTTCAAGACTGAATGGACTGACGCATATATGTTCATTCTTCCGGCCGCAAGCAGCAAACCAGTGTGTCTCATATGTTCAGAAACTGTGGCACTGATTAAAAGTGGCAATGTCAAACGCCACTATGAGACAAAGCACAAAGCTTTTGAACAATCATACCCACCCAAGTCTGAACTCAGGTCCCAGAAAATTAGCAGTCTCAGAGCCCAATATGATCAGTCCACAAGGATCTTAACCAGTTCTTTCACCGCCCAACAACATGCTCATGAATGTTCCCTCAGAGTTGCTTGGATTTTAGGTCAACACAAAAAGCCCTTTGCAGGTGTTGTCAAAGAGTGCATGAGTGCAGTAGCAGAAACATTACTTGAGGGTAAACAAAAAGAAGAGCTTCATGACAAAATAAAGCAAATACCTATGTCAGCATCAACAGCCACAAAGAGAAGTGAATTATTAGCTCAGGATGTGCTATCCCAGCTGGAAGAAGCTATTCATAAGACACCATGTGTAGGCTTGGCTGTAGATGAGTCCACTGATGTGTCTGACAATGCTCAGCTGTTAGTTTATGTAAGGTTCTTCAACAATGATAAGAAAGAGTTCTGTGAAGACCTGCTAGGTGTAACTTCCCTTCACAGCACTACAAGAGGAGAGGATATTTACCTGGCCATTAAGGAAATGTTAACAAAGCGAGGAATAGAGCCAAACCAAGTGGTTTCAATAACCACAGATGGAGCCCCTGCTATGATGGGGAGAGAGAAAGGAGCTGTAGCAAGAATGAAAGAGGACAATCCCGAGCTAATCTCTTATCATTGCATTATTCATCAGTCAGTGTTATGCTCCACCCTGTCAGACGAGTATGCTGAGGTGATGAAAACAATGATGAAAATGATTAATTTTCTCAGGGCATCTTCTTCTTGTCAGCATCGCATGCTCAGGGAATTTCTCAGAGAAGTTGATGCACACGCTGATGATCTTCTGCTTCACAACAATGTGAGATGGCTTAGCAAAGGCAGGGCATTGGAGCGATTTTGGTCCATCAGAAGTGAAGTAGCAGCTTTCTTGGAAGAGCTGGAAAGTCAAAAAGCAACAAACTTTTCTCTCTTTTTAAATGATGGGAAAAACATGGATATTGTGGCCTTTTTGGTTGATATCACTTCACACCTGAATGAACTGAATTTGAAGCTGCAGGGCAAGGACAATTCAATTTGTGAACTGATGACAGCTGTCCGCTGCTTTCAGAGGAAACTTGAAGTGTTCAAAGAAGACCTGCAAGGAGACTATGCACACTTCCCAACAGTGAAGGAACAGGTTCAGGGACAGAGAGATGTGTCCTCTTTTGTTGACTTTGTTGATAAGCTGATTGAAAACTTCAGCAAACGTTTTGATAGCTTCAGCTTTGGACAGCAGCTCACCATGTTCATAAAGAACCCATTTGCCATCACTGATGTCAGAGGGTTCTCAAAGGAAGTCACACAGCACTTCAAGTGGGCAAATGCTGGGCCTCTTCAAATGCAACTAATTGATCTCCAAGCAGATGTGGCCCTGAAAGAGCAGTTTGGAAGAACTGAACCTGCCACTTTCTGGCCCCAATTGGTCTCTGAGACAGCTTTCCCAAATCTGAGGAAAGTAGCCCTGTACATCTTGACCATGTTTGGCTCCACATACAGCTGTGAGGCAGCTTTCTCCACAATGAACATAATAAAAACTAAATATCGTTCCAGGATCACCAATGAGCACCTACACATGTGTATGAGAATGGCCCTGACACCATTCCAGCCCAGATTTAAAATCCTAGTAGAGCGAACTAAAGCTCAGTTCTCTCACTGAACAACAGAAAGTTGGGACGTGGAATATAAGGGGGAAAGAAAGAGAAACTGTAAAATTGTTAAAATGTTTTGATGTTATCTGTTGAAAATGTATTGAGACTGTTTAGTCGAGATGTAAAATGTAAAGAAAAAGGGAAACTTTTTTTTTCTGAAATTAAGCACTTTGTTTTAAGATGCACAATTTAGCCATTTTATTTATTTTCTCTAATTCATTTTAAACAGCAGCCCTATTTCTAATGTAGGCCTACTGTGTGTTTCAGTGTTAACAATAAATTTTGTTGAAATGTTTTAACTTGTATTTTCATTGATTTGACAGTCTATTGTTCATACGTTCAGATATAAATTAAAAAAAAAAAAAAAAAGTTGCTTCTCTATCACAATCATAACGTAAGTTAGACATTATGATGTCCCGGACCTCTGCTTGAGAAGATTTTCTCCAACTGGACCTCCTCAAATTTTAGTTTAATACCCCTGATCTATAGGATAAGATGCACTTGTATGACCATTTGTTTTGTTGCGGTAGGATTCCAAAATAACATTTCTTTTCTATAAAGTAATTTAGCTTAAAGCTGCAATGACATATTCCCATTTTAAAAAGAAAATGAACTATTGAAACAAAGGTGCAGGGTTTAAAAATGTAAATCCTTACTATACGTCTTCCTTTTCTGACCTGTTTTTGATCTTAAACTCCTCTTATATATCGTTGTTCTTTCGAATGAAACATCAAATTCATCAAATTTTAGGAAAAATTCATGTCTTATAGCCAACCCCAGCCCTCCAGCTTAATGTCTTCCACTAAGTGCTCATATAAACTACCGCCGATAAATGAGACGTGTGATGTCAAGAACGTGATCAGCAGCAGCATGCCCACCTGCAAAAGTCCTTATTATTTTTTTGGCAGAGTATAAAAAGCCAACATAATATTTTCATGGATAGAATCATTTTTTTCTATCACAGTCAGACTAAGTGCAAGAAAAAACTGAAAGATGTGTATTTTCATTTCATGAAATGACACAAAGTTCAAAGAGTCCTTGATTTATTCTTTTTTTTTTACTATTTGAAAAAAAACAACAACAAACACACACATTCCTGGACCCAAATTGGCCAAAACTTAAAAAAAAAAATCCTAACATGTATTAGAAATGTTTTTAAAGAGACAGCTTTGTGAGTCCTGGAAGTCATACAGTGGCAGCAGCACCAAGATAAAGAAAAGCATTTCTGTATGATGAAATAATATATTAAATACACATCACAACAAAAATACACATTTCTGCGAAACAGTTTCAATTTCTAATCATGGAAAACTATAATGTTTTCAGTGGATTATTCATTCACATAATGAATGTAGTTGATATTTTATCACTGATTGCACATTTCCTGCAATAGCTGTGGAGTGTGTGTTCATTTGAATCAGTCACTTCTACAGTGAAGTGTTGAACAAAAAAATTCAAAATGACTAACTCGTGATTCTTCGTTTAAGCCTCTATCAAATACGCTTCCTATACGTTGATTCAGGAAGCCTGAACCTCATTGCTTTAGTCCATTGTTGCATTGCTTCAAAAATATTGCACACCTGTGTAGGTCCTACCTTCCATTTTGGACAGAGATACACAAGCAGGCTAATAATTTCCACATGGGGCCAAAATGTCATTTTCTGTGTCCATCGTGACTCTGTATGCTACAATAATTTACCTCAAAACTGATTTTGTTTTTTGTGCTCACAACCTGTCAGTTTTCCCCACCGTTTTTGAACCACTTTCATCCACGGTGTTTGAGTACGGGTCCTGTTTTATTTCATTGCCTTCGTAGCTGATGTTATCATAAACTTGTCTCATGTGGCTGTTCGTCTCCGCCTTTTCCCTGTCCTTTTCTTTTTCCTGCTGGAACTGGAGCAGCACCGCTTTATTTACACCGGGACCTGAGAGAAAGGAGCACGACACAATGCAACAGCGAGACACTTAGTCTTCACCTTCAGTTTTAATAGTTTCTCTACTACACATAAAGAACCCAGAGGAAAATGATGTACGTACCGAAATAACTGAGCACCACTGGGAGGAATATAAGTCCGTGAGCCATTCCCAGGAGTGTAATGACGAGGTTCAACCGGAAGAAGAAAATCTGGATGAGCTGCGCTTTGGCAAACGCCAGCACGATGATGCCTGGCAGGTTAGTCATAGCAACACCAGCAAACACCTTGAGGGTGCAAAAAAAGGGAAAATTCATTTGAAAACATGTCTTTATTTTCCTTTTTTTGGTTCAAATTTTTCTTTAATGGGTGATTAACAACATCAGCTCTTGCTTTACTTACTGCGCTGCCCATTTTGGCTGTAGCCTCGATTGCTCTTTCCACACGTGTGGGCTTGGTGCTGAGTGCAAACGATCTCGTCATATGCGACACAAACTCAACAGAGATGCCCACCGCCTGCAGATTGCACAGAAGATGTGAGACTTTCACTTTCATTTAAACCATCAAAAATGAATCTCTGCAAAGCACGGGAAAAATACAAAAGGCTAGCAAATTTAGTAAAAATATCCACACTCAGTTGATTGTATAGGTTGGTCTCCAAAGAAACCCAGTGATGCAGCTAATCAGCACCTGTTATTAGGCAGACTGGTCAACACAATGTCTTTCCATAACTGTGTCCGCACTTGAGAAAATGAGCCTCCTTCAGTCCCAATGATCTGATTTGCTCTTACCGTGACCAGATTGATGAGAGCCACTGCGTTATAGTCGATGCTCCACAGAGTCATGACACCGACTGTATCCACAACGATCATGACAATGGTGAGCAGATTGAGCAGGCCGGAGCGCAGATCCAAGCCGAGCAGCAGACAGCAGACCACGAAGGTCGGCAGCAGACACAAGGAGATGTTGAAGAGTCCCTCATTCACAATAGTCAGGTACTGCTCATAAAATACGTAGGTTATCCTGGAAGGAGGAGAAACATAAAACATTGATCAGAAAATACAAACCGCTTAAAGACGAAAACAACTTTCTGGCAGAGTGGTTGGAGCTGAGTTGCAGGGAAATGGGGAAAGCACATACGTGTAAGGGAACACTTCAAAGTCAGGCGAGGTGCCTGGCACGAGCCTCATGCCTTGGGTGATCTTGTCAGCAAGCTCCCTGGCCATCTTCAGGGCAGCGGTGAACTCCTGGGAGTTGGTTAGAGGTGTGTGGTAAGCCATGAACCGAGAGGCTGGAGAGACAGGGGGGTAAAAAAGGTTTTATTTCCTATTTTTTAAATCTGTTTTTGAATGAATAGAATCACTTCCACTGCTATGCGGTGTTTTTGGGGACCTACCTATTATTTCCCCACTTTCATCTCTTACCACTGCTTTATCATACGCTCCTAGACCGCTGTTTAAAAAAGACAGTAAGCCATGAGATTTCCGTTTTGATGCTGGGATTTATTAGTGTGTATGCGCGCATTTACAATACAAACCCTTTGGAGCACTGCAGGTCAGGCCTGTTAGTCAGAAAGTCAGGAAGGTAGCGGTTGAATTGTGCCACAGTGGGCCTCACCGTATCATTATCAGGACGTGCCAGACACCTTTTAGCACAGATTAAACCAGCTGTTAAGACAAATAAGAAGAGTAGGGGTTATTGAAGTCATGTCTTTGTTCATGTTTAGACAGTAACATCAAAAACTGCATGCAAGTATGTTTTTTTAATGCTTTTTTCATTTAAGAAATGATTCTCACATTCATTTGCAGGACAGAAATGTCCTACATTGGGACCGTTGGTGTACAGACGACAACATTTGGATTGGGGGTTCAACCAGTCAATGAAATCATCCACCCACGAGTTCGCAGGGATAGCCACATAGGATCTAAAGTTGAGATCATATAAATAATTATTTATTCTCATAATCATCAAATTCAGAAAAAGGTAAGAAACAGCAATACCTTGTTAGTCTGTTGCATTAAAAGTAACATTATCCAGCACTTCCAAGCAATAATTGATCATTTTATTCAAAATTGAAGTTTAAAAAACCACTTCAGTTTGTGTTTTAAGGGGTTCTGTGCTTGAATATTTGGCCATTTTTCTCTGTCTTTCTCTATGCTCAGTATGCTTCAGGAAGCTAACAACCTGTAGCTACTTCAAATGTAATAATATCAGTCTCATACTTAGTAAATTTCAAACCATCTATCTGGATCTGGGATTGTGTACTGAATATTTCTAAATAACTACAGCTGTGTTTAAGAAGGCTCAGCAGCACTTTCACTTCCCGAGGTTGCTGAAGAAGTACTGTGTAGATGAGAAACTGCTGGTTTGCCTTCTTTCGCTCACTGAAAGCATGCCAGCGTACTGTGTTACAGCGTGGTCTGCCGGATGCTCTGCAGCAGATAAAAGAAGCTACCCCCAGGGTAATAAAGACAGCATGAAAGCTCACTGGCTCCGCTCTTCCCTCCTTGGAAGAGACTGAAAAAGCAAGATACCTCTCAAATGTCTTAAAAACCCCTAAAAACAGCTGTCACACTGGATACTTGCTATTTGACCTGTTCCCCACTGGTAGACACTACAGCTCCACCAAAACAGAGGCAAACAGCTCAAGCCCTAACTCAAGCAGGGTTGCTGTAATGCACCATGACACTTTCTATTTAATTCTTTGCTCCTTTTTCATTCATAATCATTCATTGTCTTCTACTGAAAGGCCTGACTTTACTGTGGGAATGACTTTGTTGTTTTATTGTGTGAATGGCTTGTTTTTATGCTTGGGGCACCTGCACAATTAGCATCTCAATTTAACTATTTTATAACACAAAGATTATTAAAGGCGTTCTGATACAAATCTTTCAGTTAAATTTATTGGAGTTCTTAATGATAGATTTATTGTTCCTGTTTTATGAGATGCTGTTTGCCAGCTGATAAGGCTGCTGATAAATACGGCTCCATAATTCTGCTTATCTTGAGGAAACAATTGTGTTTTGTTACCTAAGACGGTCTCAGTCCGATCGAATATATCAAAATGTAAAGTGTTTAGGTGAATCACAGGCAAG